TTTGAAAGCAACGGTGGCGATGACAAGTACACCTTTAACTTCTTCAGGGCTTGGACGCAGTCAGGGGTCCACTGGAGGCCGTTCTCCTTTTTTACTACGCCGAAGAACTTATGGCACCGATCGGAGGATCGCGAAATGAATCTCGAAAGGGCGGCGATACGACCAGTCAACCTCTAGACCTATTTTTTGGTGGTCAAGTGCTCTGGTATCCCTTCGATGGCCTTGATTTGATCGGGATTGACCTCGATACCTCGCTGCAAAACTAGGAAACCCAAGAATTTTCTCGAGGCCATGCCGAATGCACATTATTCGGGGTTCAGTTTTATGCCGTATTGCCTGAGTATGCCGAAGGCTTCTCTCAAGTGGTCGATGTGATCTTCTTTCCTTTTGGATTTGACCAGCATGTCGTCTATGTAGACTTCCATCGTTTTACCGAGTTGGTCTTTGAACATCTTCGTCACTAACCTTTGGTAAGTTGCTCCCGCATTTTTTAGTCCGAATGGCATGACCCTGTAGCAGTACGTCCCCTAGTGGGTGATGAAGGTGGTTTTTTCCTGGTCCTCTTCCTCCACGAGGATCTGATTATAGCCCGAGTAGGCATCCAAGAAGCTTAGTAGCTTGTGCTCGGTCGTTGCGTTGATAAGTTGGTCGATATGAGGTAGTGGAAATGAATCCTTGAGGAAAGCTTTGTTCAGGTCAGTGAAATCTACGCACATTTGCCATTTGCCATTCTTCTTTTTCACTATGACTACGTTGGCGACCCATTAGGGGTACTTCGACTCCCCGACGGAGCTATTTTCCAACAATTTTTCCACTTCTTCATGTACTGTGTCATTAATTGCAGAGTTGAACATATGCCTAACCTGCCTCACCGGGGGATAGAATTTGTGCGTGGAGATCTACTTTGGGATACCTGGCATATCTACATGGCTAAACGCAAACAAGTCCGCATTAGCAGTTAAATATTCACGAAATTTACCTTGTTCCTGAAGCTTACAACCGATGTAAGCTTTCTTGCTGTGGTCATTGCTGTCTAACTGAACGGGGTCGAGGTCCTCTATGGTCGATCATGCGGCCTCGACCGTATTGGGATCTCTGATGACATCATCGTAGTCATCGCATACCGACCTCGACCCTATTATTGTTATGCCTCTTTTTCTTTTTCTTTTGTTTGTTGGGTGGTCGTACAATCTAAGACGATGCAGTAGCATTCCTGGGATGTGCGTTGCTCCCCCCGTATACTGAATATTCCCCATGGAGTTAGAAATTTGATGACTTGGTACAAGTTGGAGGGGATAGCTCTTATGGTGTGTATCCATGGTCGCCCTATTATGGAGTTGTATGTTGTGTCCTGGTCCATGATATGGAATGCGGTTTCCAAAGTGTCGCCACCCGCTAGGACATGGAGTGTGATCTCGCCGGATGTTCGCTCAACTGCATTATTAAAGCCTGTTAGTGTGATATAGCGCGACACGATATTATCTTCGAGTTTCATTTGTGCAAGTACTCGAGGATGGATAATGCATGTACCGCTCTAATCGTCTACCATAATTGTCTTACATCAGTATCTAAAATTCGTAAAGTGATAACAAGAGCATCATAGTGAATGAAGGCTAAACCGTTGGTATCTGACTTATCGAATATGATACTTTCTTCGAGTTCATCATACCATTCGTGGGTGATCGACCGTTTGAGCTTGTGGGTTGTGGTGAACTTCACACTGTTGATGAAGGCGTCATCCTCGCCACCAATGATCATGTGGATGGTGCGGGCCGGCAAGGGCGGTTTTGGCGGCCCTTGATGTTGGTCCTTCCCTGGGAAGTTGGTCCTTCCCCGGTCGCTCAACAATTCTTTGAGGTATCCCTGTCGTAGCATGTTTACGGCCCCCGGTCTTAGGGCGATGCAATCTTAGGTTTTATGTCCTCGCTCTTGATGGAACTCACAGAGGGCGTTTGATTTTCTGGTATTTGGGTCTGACCTCATCTTTTGTGGCCACTTCACTTTCAGCCCTAGCTTCTCTAAGGCGTATAGTATCTCTGTAGGTGACAAAAAAAAATTGTGAGCGGATAATAAATGGGGCATACCTCTCTCGTTCCGGTGAGTCCCCGTTCTCGATCGGAGTGGGCCATCATCATGGCGGGATGAAGATGCAACGGTGGTCCTGACATATGGGAGATGTCGTTCTCGGTTAGGTCGTGAGGCCACGAGATCCCTTCGGACATCATTTCTTCGATCTTTCCTGGATTCCGCCTGCACCGAAGTCAGTCGATAGGTTGGCCCATTGAGGTTATCCTCGCCTGCTCGAACTTCGGCGTAATATACATTATGTATTTCGTCCCAAGTCGTTTGGGGGGGGGGGGGGTACTTCATAATCCGACT